CGATTGGGCGTCCAGGCCGTCACGTCCCGCGCTGCCCACCCAGAGGTTTGGTTGAGACTGCCAGTGGCGGCGGAGGTGCCTTAGAGACTGCTTTCAGGGGCGGGGAGACCTGAGCGCCACCGTGTGTCGGAAAGCAGAAACTGCATCTCTGGAGCCAGACACCTGCAGGCAGATTCTCTGGGCTCTGCGTCCTGCATGCCACACACCTGCTGTCGCCCCTGACCTCTGCACCACGCCAAGCACTGCAACTTCCCAAATTCTTCTGGCAGATGCGACTGTGAGGCAGCTCTCCAAAGCAAGTTTCCTTTAGAACCACTTCGAATGAGGTCCTGTGTCTTCATCCTGAAAAAAACAATCTCACAGCTACCCTCATAAAGGATACAGCCAGAAAACTGTAAGAATCGACCAAAATAAAGCATGGTTTGGATGCTCAATCCTCTGCAAAATCACAAGCTTGGGTGCAGGCTTTTAAGAAAGCAAATGATTTTTTTTTTAATTACCATGAAAGAAAAATCAACGCTGCAAACAGAATCGATGCAGTAACTAAAAGCAACGTGTTCCGTTTTGAAAGGCCTAAATAGAAAAGAATTGACCCGTGTGTGCTACCCATCCCGTGATAACTGCAGATGGTTGTACATTTTATATCCGTTAATCAATTTTAAAACAAATTTCACTGCATTTCTTGACAGACCCAAGTATGCAAAACTACCAGCACATAAATACAGTATTTAATTTCCTCTCTACTTTAACAAGGTTGTTCTTGTAAAGGTTCTTGAATATTGTATAAAATAGAGTGGCAAAGCCTCTCATTTCTGTTCTTGTGTATGGTTTTTGTTTGGTAGATCTTTACCATGTTTGGAGTTGGGAGGAGGCATGTGACCTTCTCTTAAGACACTTGCATTTTATTAGAACACATTTTTATGCATCAATAATGTGACAGCCTAGAGGAGTACACACCAACAACAGATGGGGGACAAATCTCTCACTGATTTTCATAAATGGCAAAATTCAGGATACTACAGTTTTTCACAAAACCAAATGTCTTTGGTATAATGAGCTGCCCCCCCCTTTTTAATGGACTGTCTGTCCTTTATTCAGAGATGGTTCTTTTACATCTTCAATGTTAACATTACCTCTCTTGTATGAAATAATAGTGATGATACATTGTCGTAGGACTTTTTAAAAATTATTTTATTATTTAACTACTTACTTTTAATTTGATGAGAGAGGGACAGAGCAAGGGGGGGGGGGTGGTGAGAAAGCAAGCTGCCAGGTTCAGAACTAGAACCATGGTCAGCCAAGTGGGAGTTCAATACCCTTAACTACCACGCCACCTGCCAGCCCCATAGTGGGAAGTTTTAAATAGATTTGACAAGGAAAAAAAATGTTTTTGGACCTTTGTCCCCCAGATTAATATTTTATGAAATCCTAGTCATAAAACCACACATTGCCTCAATCCAACCTAGTTTCAAGCCAGAAAAGAGAAAAAAAAATCAGAATTCTTTGTACCAAAGAGGGCAGGGGACTGGCATCATCAGCTTACCAAGCAATCTTGAAATAACATCTTTTTTTTTTTTTTAAGACTTATTTTATATGGGGACCAGGTGGTGGTTAAGGTGCTGGACATTCCCACATGGCCAACCATGATTTGAGTCTCAAACCTGGTGGCTTGCTTTCTCGCTTTCTCTCTGTATCTCTCTGGTCAAATTAAAATGAATAAATTAATTAATTAAATTTTAAAAAGAATTATTTTACTTTACTTATTTTTCTTCTTCAGTTTGACCAGAGAAAGAGAGAAAGTAAGCCACCAGACTCAGGACTCAACAGAAGTCAGCTGTGTGGGAGTCCAGCACCTTCACCACCACGCCACCTGCTGGTCCTTTTTTTTATTTTTCCGTTAAGGTTTTTGGCACAGGGCACTAGCACATTAGACAGAGACAGAGAGGGAGGGAAAGTGAGAAATCACCCCCTGGGGAGGATGGCCACACTATAATCCCTCCTCCTCCTGGGATTTTGGGCACACATGCACACATGCCTGATCATGAGTTACAGGCTGCTGGGTCCAGGACTTTGAACTGTGATAGGCCATGTGGGAGTTCAGTGCCTTAACCACCATGCAATCTGCCGGACCCCATTTCTTCAAATATTTATTAAAATTCTCTGCCTGGGGGCTGGTGACATGATGTTGAAGATGCTGACTTCCCACAGGGCTGACTGGATTGCATCCTAGCTTGCTTTCTTACCCCTGCCCCCGTCAAATTAAAAAGTAAATAATAAAAACAAAGAACTTTTATTAAAAAAAAAAAAAAATCCTCTGCCAGGGGCCAGTTGGTTGCATGGTGGTTAAAGTGGCTGAATCCAAACATGACCAACCATGAGTTTTGAGTCCTGGAGTTTTGAGTCCTGGACCCAGTGCTTTGAAAAATGCACCAGGTACATGTGCATGTGTTCCTAAAATCCAGGCAGGAGATGGAGAACAACTGCAGCACAGCCATCTTGTCTGGGGGGTGCTTTCTCACCTTCACCATGATGCATAAAAAATGTTCTAGTAAAATTTAAGTCTTAAGAGAAATTTATATGCCTCCTCCAAACATAGAAAGGTCCTTTCTCTCTCCATCAAGTACACGTGCCCAACAGCAAATTGGAGGGTGGGGTAACAACTCTGCCTGCTTTTCAACTTCCATAACTGGCCAACCCTGATACCCAGTAGATACTCTTGTCAGTAGAACTGTGGCATTCGTTTTATATGCCTTCCCAAGAAGTACCCTCAAGCTTTTTCATGTTTTGTCAAAGTTCTACTACTCTTTGGTTGTCTTTTGTTTCTTTATTTTTTAATTTGCTAGAGGGGGCATGCACTTAGCCAGAGAGACAGAGAAAGTGAGAAAGCACCCAGAAGGGGGGGTGGCCATGCTGCAATCTTTTCTACTCTCTCAGGATTTTGTGCGCATCTGTGCGCACAGGGGCCTGGCATGTTTTTCAAGCTGCCAGGTCCAGGACTTGAACCATGCAGTTGGCCACATGGGATCCAACCATCTTAGGTTCTGTCTTTACTGAGTCCTAATATCCCATCATTCCAGTCCACATTTAATTCACACTTCCTCTTTTTTAAGTCTTTCCCGGTTATTCCATGTGACATTGAACACTTCCTTTTCCAAATTCACTGTACTGACAAAAGCTACTCCATGTTAAAAATTAAACATCACCTTTGATTATTCTTCCTGAATATACTGGATTTGGCTAAGTGGTCTATGAGTATGAGCCCTCAAGAAATGGCAGCCGAGACTGGGTGCTTTATGTGAGCTATTTTTAATACCTAGAGCAACCCCATGGTATTCTTTTATTACAGACACAGAAATTTAAGATTCAAAGAATCTAATTTGCTCAGGGTCACACAACTACAATAACCAATACTGCTTAAAATAGAGAGCTTAACATGTACTCTGGTATACCTTACCGGAATTCAAATTCCAGCTCTCCTATGTAACCTTGGACATGTAACCTATCTCCTTCGAACCTGCTTCAACAACAAAGAAAGGTAAGATAGCCATAGACCCACAGTAAGAATGCCACAAAATAGGGCAAGTACAGCATTTAGTTAAGTGTGCTCAGTACAAGTTAGCTGCTATTAGTGCATGGAGAGCTGTACCTAGATCCGATCCCAAAGCCTATACTCTTTCCACTCTTCCATAATACCTCAATGCAGTCTTTTACTCCCCATTCCTAGTTATGTATAAAGCAGAGTGCTGAGAACCATAGTGGTTGCCCAGATACTGAGTAGAATATATTTATGTAGTATTTTTGTTGATACACACAAAATAAATCTGTAAACTTCATGCATTTTTGACTTAAGAAAAAAACCAGAATGATTCGAATCCAGAAGAACCTTACTCTCATGAGGGCAAGAAAGGCTACATATTCACCAAATGGCTGACAAGGAAATAGAAAACAGAACAGGAATAAGGAACCGACCTTCCCCCAAGCATCTAGCATGTTTGGCATCATCCTAGGGCAACTTTCCAAGTGTTCCTTGTGCTTTTTTATTACCGCATGCCTCTTTAGCATCACGGCCCACTGTAAATACAAAATTGAGTTGTGATGATCACAGGGAGGATGGGTCTGGGCACTGGATCCAGGTGCTAACAATAAATACCGCCCTTAAAGAATTGGAACACTTAGCTCAGAGTCAAATGCCAAACAACAGTTAAGTTTCACTTCTGTTTACCAGTCAAGCAACCAAGTGAAGGAATAAGCATTTTTTAATTTAAA